TCATTAGAAACTTTGGAGGTCTAAAGACAATGGGCTGGTATATATTCAAAGTGCTGAAAAAACTGTCAATCAGTAATCCTATATCTGGCAAAACTGTCCTTCAAAAGTGAGGGAGAATCTAAGGTATTCCCGATAAACAAAAGCTGAGGATATTCATTACTACTAGACCTGCCCCTCCAGAAATGCTACAGGGAGTTGCACATTGAAATAAAATGACACTGAACAGTAACTTGAAGCTATATGAAGAAATAAAGGTCTCAGTAAAAGTAAACACATGGCAATTACTAAAGCTAGTATATTGTAACTTTGGTTTATAACTCCACTTTTTGTTTTCTACATTATTTAAGAGACTAATGCATTTTTTACAACCATTATTAATCTAAAAGCTAGTATTATTATAACATTGGTTTGTAATTCCACATTTTGTTTTCTATACACTTTAAGAAACAAATGCATCAAAGCCAATTAGTAGTGTATGGTTTTGGATGCACAATGCATAAAGATTTAATTTTTGTGACACCAATAATTGAAAGAGGCTAGGGACAGAACTGTATAGCAGCAGAGTTGTTTTATGTTATTGAAGTTAAGCTGGTATAAATTTAATTAGGTTGATATAACTTTAGGATTTTAAGCATAATTCCCATAGTAACCACAAAGAAAATAGCTATAGAATATATGCAAAAGGAAAATGAAAAAAAAAATTAAAACATTTTACTACAACAAATCAACTCAATGCAAAAGAAGACAGTAATTCTGGGAATGGGGGACCAAAAAAAACCTGTAAGACACATAGCAAATAGCAAAATCCCAGTTCCTTCTTATCAGTAATTATTTTAAATGTTACAGGATTAAACTCTCCAGTCAAAAAAGAGAGATTGGCAGAATAGATTAAAAACATGACTCAACCATATGCTGTCTACAAGAGACTCACTTTATGTCCAAAGACACAAATAGATTGAAAGTAAAAGATGAAAAAATATTCCATGCAAATACTAACTGAAGGAGAACAGGAATGGCTCTAGTAATATCAAAAAATAGACTTCAAATCAAAAAAGTTTACAAGATGCAAAGAAGAACATTATATATAAATAAAAGTTTCAATGCAGCAAGAAGATATAACAATTATAAACACTTACCCACCTAATAACAAACCCTCAAAATGTATGAAGCAAAAATGAACAGAATTGAAGGAAGAAACAGACATTTCTATAATAATAGGTGGAGACTTCAATATCCCACTCTCAGTAATGGATAGAACAACCAGACAGAAGATAAATAAGGAATTAGAAGACGTGAACAGCACGATAAGCCAACTAAACCTAACAAACATACATGGACACTCTACCCAACAATAGAATACACATTTTTTTAAGTGAGCATGGGACATTCTCCAGGATAGACTGCATGTTAGGCCATAAGTCAAGTCTCAATAATCTTAAAAGAAATATATCAAAGTGTCTTCAACCACAACGGGATGAGATTAGAAATTAATAACAGAAAGAAAACTGGAAATTCACAAATTTGTGGAAATAACACATTCTTAACAACCAATGTTTCAATATATTAGTCGGCGTTAGGCAACCATAATAAAATATCACAGACTGGGTGGTTGAAGCAGCAGATGTTTATTTCTCTAGTTCTAGAGTCTGGGAAGTCCACAATCAAGAAGCCAGTCAAGTGAAGACCTACTTCCTGACTTGCAAACAACCAACCACCTTCTGGTTTAATCCTCACATGGCAGAGAGAGTTCAGGTTTCTCTTTTTCTTCTTATGACATTAATTCAATCATGGGACCCCACCCTCATGACCTCATCTAAACTTAACTGCCTCCCAAAGACCCTACCTCCAACTACCACCACATTGGCTTCAACATATGAATTTGTGGGAGGGACACATGCAGTCCATAACATTCTGCCGTTGGCCCCCCTAAAAATCTTGAATATATGCAAAATGTATTTATTCTATCCCAAAAGTCTCAACCAATTGCAGCATTAACTCTAAAATCTAGTCTTATCTAAATATCTAAATCAGATATGATTCATTCTGAGGCAAAATTCTCCAGCTGTAAATCTGTGAAACCCAAAAAGTTATGTGCTTCAAAATACAGGACAGGCATAGGTAAATATTCCCATTCTAGAAGGGAGAAAATCGAAGAAAGGGGTGATGGTCCCAAGCTAGTTCAAAACCTGGCAAGACAAATATCATTAGATCTTAAGGCTGGAAAATAATTCTCTTTGGTTTAATGCTCTGCTCTCTGGCCCATTGGGGTGGTGGTCCTGCCTTCTGGACCCACTGGGTAGCAATCCCACTCCTGTGGCTCTGCTGGGTGGGTTGCCACCCCACAGTTCTGGGTGGCCCCACCCCCAAGTTTCCAGGTGGCCACTGTCGGGCTAGTTGAAACCAGCCCTGATGATCTCTGAATTGCCTTCAGGACCATTCTTCCCTTGTCTTGAAGTATATAGCACACACTCACAGCCAAATAACTCTATGGTCCAGTCCTATAGGATGTAAGAATTCCAATAGCCTTCCTTCATTTGGTATCAGTTACGTCCCTTTCAGTTCAAACTGTCCGTGTTTCTGTGGAGGTGGTTGATCAGATCCGTGGTTCATACTTATACTAATCTCCTTATCAAAGGGTTGTTGAGTCACACCCTTAGTGTTCTCTCCATAACAAGCTTTCTCATTTTTTGCAATATGGACAGAGAATTTCCCAAATCTTTAAGTTCTGGTTCTTTTTTGCTTAACAATTGCTCCTTCAATTCGATTCTCCCTTTTTGCATTTTACTAGAAGCAGTCAGGAGGCACCAAGCCTCTCCTTCAATACTATGCTTAGGAATCTTCTCAGCTAAACATGTAATTTCACCTCTCACAAGTTCTACCTTCCACAAAACACTAGAACATGAACACAGTTAAGCCAAGTTCTTTGCCACTTTATAATAAGAATTACCTTTTCTCCATTGTCTAATAACATGTTGCTCATTCCCATCTGAGACTCACCAGAATAGCCTTTATAGTCATAATTCTACCAACATTCTGCTCATGATTATTTATGTATTCTCTGAGATGAAAGCTTTCTCTATAGCTCTCTTTTCTTTCTGAACCTTCTCCTGGATCACCTTTAACTGTTCCTTCGTGGCAATCAACCTCTACCCATTACCCAGTTCCAAAGCTGCTTCCACATTATTATTTCTTACAGCAGCACTCCACCTTGCAGTACCAAAATTCTGTCTTAGTCAGCTTGGTCTATTCTAACAAAACGCCATAGCCTGGGTAGCTTAAACTACAGATATTCATAGGCTGGAAGATATTTATAAGTTGGAAGTCTGAGATCGGGGTGCCAACATGGTTGGGTTCTGATGAGAGCCCTCTTCCTGGCTTGCAGACAGCCACCTTCTCACTGTGTGCTCACTTGGTCTTTCCTCCATGTGTGCACATGGAGAGAACCACCAGACAGAAGATACGTAAGGAAATAGAGGACTTGAACAACACAATAAACCAACTACATTAAACAAAGATATATGAACACTCTACCCAACAACAACAGAGTACATATTCTTCTGAGACATCTTTCTCTCTTCCTCTTTTTATAAGTGCACTAATCCCATCGAGAAGGTCCTAGTCTCAGGACCTCATCTAAACCTAATTGTTTCCCAACTACCCCACCTCCAAATACCAACACATTGTGGGTTATAGTGTCAACATGAATATTGAGGAGAGACAAACTTTCCATTCACAATAGGGATCATGAAGATTTTATTATTATTCATTTGCTTACCATTGAGATTTGCTATCTTGAATTTCATAAGTTTATTAAGCATTTACTGTTTTTCTTGGATAAATTGCCACTTTATGTCATTTGCCCATTTTCTTACTGAGGTGTTCATTTTTAACTTTTTGATTTGTAAGAGCTCTTTATATTGTAAGCAAACTAACATTTTGTTATATATGGAGTAAAATTTTACAGTTTTTCTTTTGAAGTTTGTTACCAGTAATTTAACATATAAATAAATTATTGAGGTTTAATTTCTATTAATTAAAAACTTTATAATTTTTATATATAATTAGGTTTTCGCTTCTTTTCCCTTTATGACTCCTGCTTCAGTATCATAGAAATACTTGCACAATTTCGGTATATAGGATTTTAGCAAGGAATGCTAGTAATAACAATGGCAAAGTTACTAATAATCACTACCATTTATTGAGTATTTACTATGTATCAGACACTCTATATACATTATTCTATTTAATCTTCACAACAAACCTATTCAGTAATTATTGTTCCCATTCTACAGATCAGGAAACTGAGGCTCAAGAAGACAAAGTAACATGCCCATAATCATGAGACTTGCAGTGTTGGAGCTGAGGTTGTCCTTTTGCTGTGCACAAACTCTGAACTTTGTAAACAGATAAATAGACCTGGGACCCCTTCCCGGCTCTGCTGTGCTAGCTGCTAGGCGTGTTACCTTGTGGTACCCTTCGCGCCTCTGAGCCTCGGTGTCACCTATACAACTTGCTTCACAATAACTCCCTCATAGAGTTGTTGAGGAATTTAAATGATATATATGTGCAATGTGTCTGGCACCTAGAGACAGTCATAGAAGAGAGTCAGCCACAACTCCTCTTGACTGGAGCGCTTTAACTCCTTCCCTGCCCTCTCTCTGATGAGGGGCGGGGTGGAAGGGCAGGAGAGGAGGGGTAAACCAGTGCCTGCAGTGAGGCGCAGAGGTGGCAATTCCAGCCTCGCCCATGTAAGTGAGGAGCAGAGTGAGATGAAGCGCCACATCTCTGAAAGAGATCCACCCTGGGAGGGACTCGGGTGCTTCCAACAAGGGCGGTCTGCCTTTCCCGGCGTGGGAGGCTGGGGCGGGGCTGCTTCAGGAAGGTCTCTCCACCCGCTCAGGCTCAGCCACTCTTGCTGGTGAGGAGAGCCCTGCGAGGTTGCTGCTCCTCTGGCAGCTCTCGCCCTGTTGGCCCCCACACACGACACACCCGCAGAGACCATGGGTACCCTGGAGGGACACCTGCTGCCGGGGGTATACTTCCTCTCCTTCGCACTGTACTACTCAGTGCAGGTGTTCTTTGCCGTGCTACGGGGACAGAGGTTTCTCAAGCCCCCTCTGCCCCCAAGGGAGAAGCGAGGACACAGGTGGTGGCAGCTAGTCCCTAAGGAAGGAGTGGTGAAGATCGTAATCTGTCTGATTGCCATGCTGGCTGAGTTCTTCTACCCCCCAGGAGTCAACCGGCTGAAGATAGTAAACTGGGAAGACCCTCGACGGCCGTTCATGTTCTCGAACAGCTGGCAGCACATCACCATGTATGGCTTCTTCCTGATCAGCGGCGTGGCGGACATTGTGAGCCAGTCATGCCTGGCCCGGCAGAATATGAAGCTGGAGCGAGCGGCCGAGGCCCTGGCCTTCTGCATGCTGGGGCTGCTGATGGTCGCGCACATTGAGAACAAGAGCGCCCTGGAGATCCGCGGGCATGTCCTGTTCATGGTGCCCACCTTCCTGGTCAGTCTGGCGCTCGCCATCGAGGTCTGGGTCCCTGACCAGCCTGCAGTCTGGGTGTTCAAGGTCTGGATGGGACTGGTGTTGAGCACCTGGCTGCTGCATCTCTCCCAGGTGATGTACATTCATCTCTCCGGGCAGCCCTGGCGATCAGAAAACCACGAGGACCTCGCCTTCCTCACCATCTTCTTCTGCTGGCACCTGGGCTTAGGGGCAGTCGTGCTGTTGGTTATCTATGGCATCTGCAGCCTATGGTATCATCGCCGCTCCTTCTGGACAGAGCCCTCAGGTGCTAAGTACCAGCCATGCCCCACAGGCTACAGCAGTGAGGAGCTGGAGAAACTCAGGGCAGGGACCGAGCTGAAAAATGAGTGTGTCTAGGTTAAGAACCTGTCTTTGTGCTAGACTTTGTAATGACAGTTTTGAGGATGCCCATTGTGTACGTAGCATGGAAACGCCCCGGGGTCTACAATGTAGCTTCCCATCACAGGAATCATCTTCCTTGTTCCTAAATAAACCTTCCAGCTCCTAGGAGTACTTCTATCTACCACTGCTCTCTCCAGGTCTGTCTCTTTCCTGTCTCACTATTTAGGATGGTTCCTAGTACATGAAGTGAGAACAAAGAGCAGTGCTTCTCTCTGACAGCTTTTGGGATCCAAGAGGAGAAAATGAAATGAGGACATAGAGGGAGACAGAGTGTCGCTGGGGACTTGGGGAGGGTTCTATCCACCTGAGGCAAGGCTGGCTCTGTGAGAGAGAGTGTGTGTGTGTGTGTGTGTGTGTGTGAGCTGAAGTAGTGCTTCAATGTGTGAAAGAGAGGAGCCCATTTTTGCATAATGGTGAGGGCTTCTGTTTTCTTCATTTTTCTCTTTTTTTATTCACACTAAGTGTATAGCAAGATGAAGAACTTGTTTTGTTGTTGTTGAATCTAAACTGAATGAGGCTACTTCTGTCTTCTGAGGGACTAAAGGATGAGAGGAAAGGGGTAGCAATCAATTTAGCAGAGACTCATGTCTGGGGAGAAAGGAGGCAAGAGAGAAGTTCCCCAAAGAGGTTGTGAACAATGGGAATTATATTTACATAATTTTAACTTGTTTTTTTTTGCTGTGATGTAAAACAACTCCATTGTTTTAACTTGTTCAGTAAAGTCTATGATACATAGGTGTCTTGCGTGAGTGATTCTAGGGTAAGATCAAAGAAAAGACCCTTACTTCAGTTAGTGGGAGCAAAAGGGAAGGAACTGTCATGAAATGTGGGGTGCAGATGAACCCAGTGGTTCTGAAGATGCTGGAACTCAGAGCTGAGAGGGACCCTGAAAATGTCAGCCCCTGGAATTTGCAGAAATTTTTGTCCAGTCATTGAGCTTCTCCCAGAACGAGAACAGGAGGTGCCAGTAAATCATGTACTCAGTGAAATACATGAAAACAAACTATATAAAAATACTTATTATCCCTGTGTGCAAGTAGAAAGCCACTGCTTTGAACAGCATGAGTGTGCTTCTGTCAGATGGATAAACCCAGCATTTGGAAGTTAGAAGAGGCAGGAAGAAGGCAGGAGATGCTGTCCATGGATGTGGAGAAAGGACCAAAGAGAAAAGTGGCTACTCATGAAGGAGCTACAATTACACCACCTCCCCTGCAGGCAGAAATGCAGTCCTCAGAGACTGAAAAGCTTCAGGAAATAGAGAGGCATTTGCATTTGCAGGGTGGAAAACAAGACATGCTGCACATTGTCATCTAAAATATCACTGGACATTCCCTAAAGAAACAGTGTTCAAGAGCCTGGAAACTCTGGGACAAGGGGTTGGGGCAGAGAAAGGAAACAAGGTGAGGGATGGAAATAGGGCAAGGATCTGGCAACTCCCACTGGCAGGGCTTAGAGGGGAGGGACACTCTGATCTAGAAAAAGATAAAAGTATCTTCCTCCAGCAGTTGGAACCAGGCTAACCTCAACTTTCCTCCCCAGTGAAGCAGAAACCAAGCTAAGGAGAGGCCAGCACCCTTCTTTCTGTCTCTGCCTTAAAAGCCTAGAAGCAAAGCCAGATTTACCCTGAAGCTAACAAAACTTAAGCTTCAGAGCCCCTCACTTTACATCTTCCGTCCAAAGTCCTAGGAGAGGCCATCACAAGGCATTCATATGATCACATATTACTGAAAATTGCAATTACTGAAAAATTTCTGTATTCTTTTTTCTAACTAGGAACTTCAAATTGTATAAACTTAAGATTCCATAAAACCTGCCATGCGCCCCACCCTGAAGGCTTAAGACAGATTTACTTTCAGGATGCCTTATGATAAATACATCTCTTAACCTGTTACTAGACCATTCTTTATTCAAGGATAATGTTAAGATTCTTCCTTCTTCAACTTGGAAACGAAAAGCTTAAAATGCTAATGACACCAGACACTAGCTGAAGTACCACCTACTAAAGTATAATCTCTTAGTCAACAACCGTAAATGAATGTTATCAGATGCTGGGCCTGAATTAATGAGGAGGAATTAGAGGTATAGAAGACTAATCGCTGGAGGCGTGAGGAAGTAATTTACAGAGGTGGGTCCTGTTGATCATTTGTGCTGTGCGGGGGAATTTGGTCTGCATATATATGGCCCTTGCCCAGTGTATTAGTCAGGGTTCTCCCAAGAAGCAGAACCAATAGGATGTGAATAGATAGAAATTTTAAGGAACTGGTTCATGAGATTGTGAGGGCTGGTAAATCCAAAACCTGTAGGGTAGGCCAGCAGGCCAGAGACCCAGGGAAGAGTTGACGTTTGTCACCTTGAGTCTAAAGGCAGTCTGGAGGCATAATTCCTTCTTCCTCAAGGCACCTCTGTCTTTTCTTTCAAGGCCTTCAGTGGATTGGATGAGACCCACCTACATTACAGAGGGTAATCTGCTTAATCAAAGCCTACTGATTTAAAAGTTACTTACATCTCTAAAAATATCTTCACAGCAACATTTAACCTGGTGTTTGACCAAGCAACTGGGTACCATGACCTCGCCAAGTTAAGACATAAAATTAACCACCATATTCAGCATATTGGAACATAGCCACTCAAACATGATTTATGTCAACTGTGTTTGTCACGATTTTTTAAGACCTTTCAAAATAATTACAGTAACTTCATTTTAAAGAAACTTCATCATTATAGGTTTTGATTACATTGTGACTGTGACTATATAATGTTATATGGACTTCTTTCCTTCCCTGTTCCCTCTAGGAGAGAGAAAGAGTGATAGGTGGGCAGGTAGATGACACTTATTTTTAAAGATTAAAAATTAATATTTTGAGGATTTGGAGGTATTATTAATGTTATACATTTTAGACATCTTAGAAAATACCAAAAAGTATTTTAAAGTATTTTGAAATCTACCATAATGCCCTTACCCAGAATTAATTACTTCCTGGAAGGACTAAAAAGGTGCTTGATGGCTAAGGTGTGGGTGACTGAAGAGGTTTGGAGGCCAAGGTCACTGAAGATGAAGAAATCCAGAACTGGGAATCTAGCACTGTGGGAAGGAATTGAGTAAGGATAATGGCATACCCAGGAAGATGGCAATCTTGGAAGAGAACTTCAGAAACCCTATCCTTAGTGAATATGGGTAGGGAGTGGGGTGGGGAAGACAACCTAAGACATCAAGGAGAGCCAGAAGACAGAAAATGTAAGTAGCTTGAAGGAGGAAGTGATCGGTGTTAAGCAGAAATGATAAAACCTACCCCACAGAGGTTTAGTTAGAAGTAAATGTGGCAACCACAGCCAGCATGGCTCAACTCCTTGTCAGGGCACATGCCCAGGGTTTTGGGCTCAATCCCCAGTGGGGGACATGCGGGAAGCAGCTAATCGATGACTCTCTCTCATCATTGATGTTTCTATCTCTCTCCCGTTCTTCCTTCCTCTCTCTGAAATCAATAAAAACATAATTTTTTTTTTAAAGTAAATGAGTCAATACTTATATAACACAATACAAAGTATGGTGTATAGTAGATGCTAATAAATATTAGTTTAAGAGACTGAATATACAAATGTGCAATGGCCAGACCATATATAAAAATAAAACTCTGATTTGAAATCTGTAACAACCAGACCAAGAAACCAATCCATTATCTATGGGAATTAACCCAAGAAGCCAGCCAGCCAGCCTGACTTGTAGAAAGTCTGATAGCTATCTCTAGCAACCAGACCAGGAAGCCAAACAATAACCCTTGTAACAGTTGACCCCAAATGGGCAGGACTTGGTTAATAACTAACAGCTTCCCTAATTTTTGTCCATGCTTCCAACTTAGGACCAACCAGAGAAAGCTAACTATGCACCCCTAACCAATCACATGGGATAGTCCACTTCTAGTTAGCAAGCCTACAGCTTCCCCATGCTAATACCTTCAATTAGGGCATACCTGGCACCTTCTCTTCTTTCCACTATGCAACTTTTCCACTCCTCTGCCTGACTTGTGTCTTTGCCAAAAAGTAAATGATGGTGGCTGACTCCCTTGCTATACTCTGAATAGGTAGCCCTTGCTTATTTTCTTCAGTTGGTCTTCATTTACTTCCACATGTTCAAGTCTTTAATTTATTTATGCAGGCAGTTACTCAATATTTATTGAGCATCTACTATGTGCCAGACTCCATGCTAGTCCCTGAGAGCAATGAAGTGACCAGATGCTAGTGTCCCTGCCTTCAAGCTGATTATGGTTCAGGGGGAGAAGAAAGATAAATACACAGCAAGCCAACAGCAGCCTGAAAAGAGCTATAATAAGGGGCAAGTAAGCCAGATTTGAAATCAGAGAACACTGCCTAGAATAATGATGTTTCTGTTACCAAATTCAAGAGGCTTGCAATTTGGGGTATTCTATCCAAGAACCAGGAGTGGTTATCATTAGTTAGTTTTGTTTACTTGCAACAAGTAAAGGAAACAAGGGATTCATATCCAAAGTTGTCTCTCCAAGGGAGACTTAGCCATTTCTTATATACAGTATTTGGTTAATTACATGTTGATTTCTTCTTTGCAGTTGGCTAAACTTATCCTGTTAGATTCCTTTCAAACTCACCAAGTTACAGCTGTGTGTACAAAATACTGTGCTACATTTTAATATTTAGCAAGAATAGCATTTAACGTCTGGCTGGCGTGGCTCAGCAGTTGAGCATGGACCTATGATCCAGGAGACTGAGGTTCGATTCCTGGTCAGGACACATGTGTGGGTTGCGGGCTCAACCCCCAATAGGGGGTGTGCATCAGGGAGCCAATCAGTGACTCATCACTGATGTTTCTATCTCTCTCTCTTCCTTCCTCTCTCTAAAATCAATAAAGATAATACCTAAAAAAAAAAAAAGAATACCATTTAATAAGAACCAACCAGACCTTGAAACCCTTATTCTATTTAACT